GTCAAGGCCGACAAGATAGCAGGTGAACCGCGGTGGCCTCCTTCGGCAGTCTTCACCTCATCAGCTCCTCCCACACACACGCACACACTGCACCCCTGTGCAAAAAAAAAAAAAAAAACAGGTCTATTGTACTGTTGAGTTGTTGTTGGTAGTGCTGGGATTATAGTCATCTGTTAATGTATCTGGCATTTGCCTATTGGCACATGATGAGTTTCCAAAAGGGCTAACTAATAAATATAAATCTGTCTATTAATAAAACAGAGTGTGAACTGCTGTGCTGTTTGAACTGAAGGCACGAGGAAGTGATGGATGGGAAGTTAAAAAGGAAAACACAGCGGCAGTGATTAATCATTCATTTGAGACAGACCTTTACTAATATCTACAGTTTGATGGAGTAGCAAAGTCAACGGAGCATGTAATTCAGGTTAACTAACCCGTTTAATCGTCTAAATTAAGTACAGCAGGTAGAAAATACTACCAGTTCTCTCCCAGATCAAGCTGTAACTCCACGTTGTGTTCCATAGCGTGTGTTTCTCATCAGGGCTTCAGGCAACAGCAGAGGTTTAGCATTAACAAAAAGGGGATGAACTCGCACATCTGCTGCATATCATGCATTTGTTTATAGAGCGTGATGTCAGTGGGGGACACAGGGTGGCCCAGCTTGTGTCCGGGGGAGTGCGAGGTACAACCGGAGGCTAGGTCCTCATCTACTGCATGGATACGAGGAAGGAGGGAGGATGGGAGGGGGAAATGGACTGCAAAGAAGGAACTCATAAATCAGAGTGAAGGTCAGCGCCGAAGCCCCGAGACAGCCCCACCCCTGTTATGGGAGGGCAGTCAGGCACAGGCGGGTCAGCTAAGGCCAGCGGCAGCTAAATACACTGGCAGGCCCGGGCCGGTTGGCAGGACAACAAACTGCACATCAGTACCTCATCTCACCTCAGAGGCCCGTTCATCTGGGTCAGCAGAACAGAGCCAAAGCAATGGGGCTGTGAGCTGGGTCGCCTACAACTCTGACAAACACCTGGCGTCAGATTCGATTTGAACAAATACCCCCACAATTCTAACTAAGCACGTGTAAAAATAAACATATGGATAAGCATTCAAACAGCCCAGCAGGAGAGTCCTTACGCAACAAGCTCAGCTACGTGACGACCCAGCTGTGTACCTTAACGTAGTGTGAGGAGTGCAAAGGAGAGCCGTGTTTAGTGGAAACAAAAAGAGAAACGGAGACAAAGAGCACTCGCGTCGGTCCGTTAACAGTATAGGATTGAGACAGATCAGAGATTAGCTGTCACTGAGTCAGCTGTGTGCCAAGGACCTTTGGTCTATGAATCAGCTTACAGCATGCTCAGTGAGGAAATAATCGCACTCGACTGAACTGGGAAAAGGGAAAAACAAACTAATCCTGGAACTAATGAAAATACCCGCGTATTTACCCAGGTATCTTAACGCTGCGCTCGCCCAGAAATCTTGGATATGAGGGTTAAAATATGATACGTTTTGTAATTTCTATGCTAAAAATCACATGACATTATGCCTTTCCACTTTGGTAGTGGAATGATGCTATTTCAAGCAAAGGTCTGGACATGGACAGAATACAAGTATCTGGAGAACATATGTATGAGAACACATATCCTGCAAGAACGCAAGGTTGTGGAAAACGCATACCCTTCGTGTGCTGAGGTTAACCACCACCTGATGAGCACGTAGCAGGCTTTGATGAAAAATGTTTGTACCAGGAGCGAAACAGAGCAAAGTCTTCAGAACACTATTTGAGGGCTGGAGAAACAAAAGGAGATTCTGCGAACGCTTCAGCCTTAAGATGTTGTGAATTTTAATACAAGATAAGAGAAAAACACTGAAGCTACTCCCTAAACATTTTGACCGTGAACGCCTTTTTGTTTCCCCTTCAGAACTTTAGTAAACATGACAACACCAGAGAAAGAGTGTTGAGGCGTTGGCTTACGGAGCAGGGAGTGTACTACCGTCATACGTTTACTCAAATGAGTCAAGTGCATTTCCTTACTCATAAAACAATTGCAAAGCAGATTTTTTTTGAGCATTATAAATCCAGCATTGTTTATTAATTTACAGTCCTCCATGCCTATGCTGACCCATAGCACTGTTACCACACCCTGATCAGTGGAATAGTGCGAGGCCATTGGTAAGACTGTGTGTCCCCTCATCAGCATGTACGTACGTACGTGTGTGTGTGTGTATATACGAGATAGACAAAACGGGAACCTACTCATCAAGAGCAGCTCTGTAGCGTTACTAGAGGGCAAAACCTCCTCAGGGAACCTCTGAGCCACCAGTGTGCTTATTCACAAGTGCTGGTCGGATGGTCCAATAGCTTCGGAAACCCCTCCCCTGTCACTGGTGTTTGATTTTGGGTGGGGGTGGGTCCAACAATTTCTGTAACTTTCCAACAATCCGACAATCGCACTCACTTCACGCTTCGATCGGCCAGCTGTGCTGTGGTTTGAACATTTCTCTCAGTTCTCTTTTGTCATTTTCACAATTGGAACCTCACCGGCATAAATAAGATCTTCCATGTGTTTCATGTCACCACTTCCTCCTACATTCACATCTCTGGTGTACACACACACACTTTTTTTAAAAAACGAATACAAACGTGCTGGTTGCAAGACAGCTAAATTAGCTGAGCTTACACTCGAAAACACATTACATTTCATACTCAAACCAGAACACTGCAACTCCCCTTTTCCCTCATGTGGCAAGTCTTTGGTTTCAGAGAGTTTGGTGGGGGAGGGGGGAGGGTGGTTTCGCACATGTGACATTACCGGAAAAGATCCCACCCTGCTAGGAGCGACAATATGTCAAGCCGACACAAACAAACACACCATCCGTAGCCCGTCTTTAGGCCACCAGGAGAGGTACGACAATGACTAATTCACAATAGCTTTGAACGGCCTTTCAGGGAAGTTTCACGAAGACATGCAATGACTAAAAATTTACTCGTGTCAATAGCAGCCTGAGAGTCCGTTTATCTAAAGAAACCTGTTGTGCTACCACTGTAGCTTTTCCCAAATGCCTGATCTGAATATTAGCATCCGTGTTGTACAACTTAATGTTATGCGTTCCTAAATTCCCTCTTGTCCTTTCATCGGCTCAACAGCATCGGCCTCAGAGGGGAGGAAAACTGTTTCTCTGACCCGTCGCCACCTTCCACCTTTTAGTTTCCACCTCTTCCTTCATTCTCATCTCTGCCGGCAGGATCGGGAGCCAGCGCCTATTGATCGTACTTTCTCTCCCACTCTATCTATTGCTGAACATTTGCTTCCTGTCGTTCACGTCATTGTTTCGTTTTTCTGGCCTGACAACACTTACAACTTGTGACAGTTGAAATCTCCCAGCGCAAAGAATGGCCTTCATCAAAATTGGCAGAAGTACAGACATGTGAGAACAGATATACAACACACGCAGACGCACACGCGCGCACACGCACACGCACCAACCTGAGGCTATAATACAGTTGGCCTTACAACCTATTCCAGTTACCATCAACTTCTAACAAATACAGTATGTTTCTTAGGTAAGAATAACGGCTTTTCACAACAAAGGCGTGTCTGTGCTTGAGCTGGTTGTTCCAGTGTTTCCACCAAGGAACCCTAATGAGAGCTCTGGGGTAGGACTCGACGAGAACTTAAAACAAACACAAGTACTTCTGTATGAGAACAGTGCATAAGAGAACTCAAATTGGAAATAAATTATTTAAAAAAAAAACTGACACAACAGAACAAAAAGAAGGTGCTGACGGCCTAAAGATAAGAAGGGTATCTATTTTGTCTAGCTGGATGACAAAACACACTCACCGGGTCACTATGTTTGGTTTCAGCAACATGTGTTTGACATGATATGAGAGTTTGGGGTCAACCACAGTAGACCCTGATCAGATGATGGTGAATTGAAAAGAATATTTTGAGTTTTGGACTGTTGGTCAAACAAAACGAGCAGTTTGAAGACATCACTGTGGCCGTGGAGATTTCTTTTTAAATTATTTAATGGACACAATTAATTAAGAAAATAAGTACACAATTCTCTGTGTCTTTAAAGGGTAACATTTTTAAGCTGGTGCAAATGTGGGCCAGGTCATGAAAAGAGTCCAACACCAGTCCAGTGCCGACTTCTGAGTCTGTGCAGAAGCTCGAAAAAACTAAATTGATATCCAGTCCTGTACGTGGTTTAGCTGAAACTTCCCAAATGTGACAGCTCATGTTGCATTTAACTAGAGATGCACCGATCGAAGCCGGACGGTTCTCAGCTGATGGCTAGTCAGTTTAATATTTACATTTTTTTTTTACATTTGCACACGCATGATAGTTTTACAGCCTCGGTGATACTCCCAAATGGACGCACATGGAGAGTAGCTCTGTTCATACCGTCTCTGCTTGGAGGCCGTATTCCACACACGTCGAAGGATTGTGTAGAAGTTCTTTAGTGCAAGTGAAGAACACATAAAACTCACTTTGTCACAACTGCAAGTCCAAAAAAAAAAAAAAAAAAAAGCCGCGGAGGAGCAACCTTAAAGACATGAGGGACAACTGACGGAGCTAAACGCGAACGTTAACAGAGGTTGCATTGACTTGGATTATGATGCATTCAAGCTGAACACAGTAAACTGTTTATATTGAGCCAAGGTTAATTATAATGCCATCATGATTTGTTCATATGTAATCTTGTAAAATGTAGTTTTGCTGAGAAACATGAATAAATACAGTTGTTTGACTCCTACTGTCCATCTGTACTAATTATTTAGATAGATAGATAGATAGATCTATATGTGCATGTGATGCTTTCACACAAACTTGAATAAATATTTGAACAGAGAAGATATGACATTGCACAACC